CCCCCCCGCCCCGTTCCCCAGCCCGGGTGTCAATCACACAGGGACAATCTTCCAACACGGGCCTTTATTCCGGTGCGTGGCGGACGCGCTGCCCCCCGTGGGGCTGTGCCCACCCCCGGGCCCGAGGTGACCTGGGGTGGCAACGCCCACCCCGAACGGAACCACAACACAACAACAAGGGAGGCAGCGGGTAGCGGGGATGTCCTGCAGCACCCGGGGAACAGCCGCCCACCTCGCAGGGACGGGTCCTGGCTCATCCCAGCTGGTCACAAAGATTGTTTCTTCCTTTTGTTTTTTGGTTTTTTTTAATCCCAGGAACCTTTTTCTCACTGCTGCTTGTCCCAGAGAAGAAAGGAGGTTTCCCTTCCACTGCCCCTCCCAGAAACTGCTTTGTTCCTTATCCCATCAACCTGGGGGAAAACTAGGCGTGCTGAAGGCCACGGCTGCAGGGTCAGCACATCCCCTGAGCCCCAGAAGACCTCTTGAGCTGGGGAGACAACACTGCTCCAAAAGGAACAGGCCTCAGACATGGCTTGTTACCTTCTCTCCCACCTCAGCCTGTCTCCTGAACACAGGAGGGCTTCGGTCAACACCTGCAGCTGCTCCAACACCTCCTGCTGCATCTCCAGGGCCATGTGGTGCACCTGGTGGTTGGAGCTGTTGTACATCACTGCATTCTGGAACATGAGCATGAGGTCACGCTGGAACTGGACCATGGACTGAATGTGGCCCTTTGACACACTTCTCTTGAGGCTGGTTAAATCCATGGGTCTACAAAAGATAGGAGGAGAATTAATTGCAACCCACAGCCAGGCACTTTGCAGGCTCTGCATGGAACTGCTTATTCCTGTTTCAGTGTGGCCCTGAAAGCACAGATATTTTCAGTAAGTTTTATTGCCCAGGACAAAGAGAAGGAGTGAGAAACGTTTCTCTCCTAAGCCAGAGAAGTAAGTTTAGCCAATGCGACACTCGCTAGCCAATCAACTTGGCAGGTCATTAGCAGCCCTGAAAAAATGTCATGTTGAGCTCCAGAGAAGGCAAGCAGAGCAACCTTTCTAATTAGTCTTTATGAAGTCAGGCCAGGTCTTAGTGGAGAAAGAAAGTTACTAAAATAGGTATCTATTAAAACCCCTAAAAATCGAATGATGCCACTGGCAAAAATAGCTGAGCTCATAAAGGGAACTTGATGGGGAATAAATATTACTTCCCTTATTTTGACAGAATGAGAAAATGAATGGCTGCAGGGATGACAACTGGGACCAGAATAGAGCGTGATTCAGCTCTGAAAAATGCCCTTAATCTCTCTGGGAAGTATTCGTATGACCCACTTCTCCACTGAGAAGAAAACCTCGGGGGAGCAAGCAGCAGATGAGCAGGTATAGACCCAGGCACAGGCTTCCAGCATGGGGACAGGAGACTGCTGAGCTTCAGCAGCTGAATCCCCTGCACACCCATAGGTCCCACAGCTGCACGGGCTGTGCCTGCAGCAAGTCAGCCTGGCAGTGCCAGCACAGGGCAGGCACAATTCCCACCAGTACCAGAGTCACTTCCAGCTTCCAGGTTCTAATCACCTGGAAGGGAGTTTTAATAAAAGGAATCAGAGAGAGATGCTGGTGACAGTCAAACTCTGGAAAAGGAGGAAGGAAACAGTCCCACTGGCCCTTTGGAAATCAGAGAAGGCAGAAAAAAACAGAGAGAGAAATGTACTATTGAGCACTTGCTCCACAAACTCACCTCTTCACCACATCCCTGTATCCAGGAGCTTGTTTCTCTGACACTGCCTTCAGGAACAGGCCACTGTACCTACAAGGACAAGCAGGAAGAATGTCCCCTGTCTGCCTCTCCACCAAAACCAACATCACGACAGGGACCAGAGCCTCTCCCCACGTGCCAGAGGCCACAGCAGCAGCCAGGGCAGGTGGCTGGAACCACTGGGCGTGGGGGAAGCTGCGCCCACAGATGCTGTCTGTGCCAGCTGTGCAGGGAGCAACTTCTGGGCTCTGCCACATGAAGCAGAGGAAATAAATATGCAGGGTTCTCTCCAGCTTTGCAGCACGCAGCTGTTCTCACTGGTGGGATGGCCAGAAGCAAAGCTATGGGGAGACAAGGCAGCCTGTGGGTGGCTGTTGTGGAGGGGAGCAGGGCCTGGGGACACAGGAGCTCGAAGTCAGGACAATGTGTTCTGGAGCCATGTCAATCCAACCCTTTCCCCCCACGTACCTGTGACTGGCTATCATCCTCCAGAGGGACATCAGAGTTCTCTTGAAGACCAAATGCTGCAGGGGCTTATCCCAGCTTAGCTGCATCCTGTGGAGGGAATATATTGCCAGATCATTACACTTGAGACCAAGTAGGAGGTGGCAATTCTGCTCTCACCCAA